CACCTTTCAAGGTTTCGACACCTGCAAATACGCTCCTGCTGTACGAATACCCTGGCCCCTTATAGCTCAAGAGATGACGAACCACGCTTCATGGGAATCGAAAGAATACCAAGATGCATACATGCGGTGCGCTTGCCTGTTCTAGTTTGGTTTACATATAAGATACATCTTCCGGAGACTACTGCAGTCTCCCTTCTGCACCAATACCCGAGCTTCTGATTATCCAAAAACTACAAGTGCCTCCTGAATGGAGCTCGGAAAGGCCACGAAATATTCAACATGGTGCGGGCGTGTGCCTCCAGCCAACTCGAAAACAAAGTCACCTCCCAACGACCATAGAGGTCTCCCTCCGGTCTCGCTACACTGATCCTTGGAGGTTCAAAAAATTGGCAGTACGACCTCATGAAAGTAAAAAGAGATATTCAATGATATTATGCGGTGTGCTTGCTGGTCTCTGTGCGACTCACAACTCAAACCTGCCTTCTGGCTTTTATCGGAGTATCACTTCTACATCAATCTGATGGCTTCTGGTTGTCCAAAATACGTACTCAACCTCCGCATGGAGAGAAAAAGACAACATCGACTGCTATATGCGGTGCGCCTGTCCGTCTCCAGTCGAGCGACGCACAAAACCCACCATTTGACAGATCGGATTCTATGTATCTTCCAAAAATGTCCCAGACTTTACTTTTCCAAACTTATGCAAGAGAAGGTCGATGAAGCAAAACGCAGTTACCACAATAGCATGTGTTGGGCGCTGGTAAGCCTCTGTTCCGGCCGCATATAAAACCCAAGTTCTGAAAACTGAGCTCCCATTCATCTTCCAAAATTTTATGCACTTCACTCTTCCAAGACTACAAGCGGTTCTGGGAATGGGCATCTGAAACACGCGATCAACAAAATCATGGCGTGAGCTTGTCGGCCACCACGTTGTGCGACAGCAAAAAACAGAGCGGAGTTCCTCATGGAGAAGGGGCACATGGATGTGGTTATCTGCCTAGGTGTTCGGAGGCTTCGAAAAAGGCACTGCCCTCCATTATGACTGCGGAGAAGGGCACAGAGAACATTATCCTGATCTACTGTCCTTTTGGAGGTTTGGTAACGCGTGCTGGTTTTGTGAGTTGTTTGGTATACCACCTCCCGGAATTTTTGTACTGCCTGGGTGGCGATCGCGCTAGTGTTGCGTGTATAAAAACATGTCCCTGGCTTGTGGAATCTAACTCCTCACACTTCCCGAAAAGGGTTCTTCTCGAAAGGCTACATTCAATATCGCATGAGTTTCTCGAAAGATTCTGCGAGCGCAGCCATGGTCCTGCTTCGTCTGTGGATGCCGGCTACAGCAGATGAAGACGTCTTCCAACCGACACTAAAAGTCTGACCTGAGGAATCCATGTGTCTAGTCGACTGGGGAAGCTGGTCCAAAATGGAAAGGCTGATGCCTACGCGTCGGGTGCTTGCTTGCGTTTGAAGGCAACTGTAAAAACTCACCTCTTTCGAGCTCTAGCATTTGAGCCGGGAGGCGTATACAACCTGACGTTGCGCGAGCATATCTTCTTCTCTCTCTATGTCAGCGCGATTTGGCCAATGTAATCAAAAGTTCTACGAAAAGTTTGATGAGGGAGTAGAGTGGGTTTGGGAAGAGTCTTGTGCTTCTGACTTGTTGCTTGACCGGATTCACCGGATGATTACGCGATACATTGCGGACTGCCCAGGTGGAGATGTGTGGAGATGTGTAGCTGCCAGACTGTTGCAGGACATCCTGTTCTTCTATTTTATATCTGCAAGATACTGATGCTGCGAATAGAAGCCGTTGAGACTGAAGTGATGCAAGAAGTTTGGAACGTATGGAGGCGGCGCGATGTGCCGAAGGACCTAGCGAAAGACATGTTCCCATTGAATACTCCGCCGAAACGAAGTCTTCGAAACGAGTCGTCGCGATGCAAATAAGTCGGGAATACCTGGAGAGTGAAATGACGAGGAAGAGAAGTGGAACTAGCGTCACACGTGGCAACGTTTTGAGGCAACCTTTTGACACATGGTCTAGCGCAAAGACGTCACTTAGAGTTTCCATGTCACCGTTCGGTCGCTCCCTCCAAGGTTTGAAATCGCCGTTCCGGCAGTTCCTGTAAAAAACCACGTTCGATCAGCTGATGCGCTTACGTTGCTCGCTCCCGCGGGGTCACCCTAGATATGATCTGGCGGGGTAAAGTTCAACGATCAGGTACACATCGCATTCCGCTTTCAAATCGTACTCACCTATCACCACCTCGGTCAACATCCAGCCGATATCTCGGTCAAGATGCCATCCTGAAGTCGAAGCTTTCGGAGCTTGGCCAGCTACGTCTGGCATAGCGCAGCGCTAGAGCCGTTCCTCGGATCAGCGGGACCCGCTAACGATCACCCGTACCATACTGCGAGTAGGAAGATCGGCCCAGGTTTCGGCACACCAACGCAGGACGACTACACCTCTTCTGTCAGTGTCCGCTACCTGCATTGTAGCTCTCTCGACGAACTGTTCGTGCCGCTGTCGCACTTGACTAGCCCGCGCTGCGCTGATTACTCACTTGCTTTTTCGATAATTTCCGACCTCACTTCCACACCCTCACCATCCGTATGTGGTACTTCCACCGACGCTGCACCTCCCCTTGTTCAATTGCCGTGCCGAGGCTCGATGCCGATCGACGGCAGGGAGTAATAATTGGGGGCTCTCCTTGCGGCAGGCTCCAAACCACAAACAGCAGGCAAGTATACCGAACCTGGTAAGGCCAACAATCCGCGGACCCGCATGAGCGATTCAGGACCTGCACCTAGAGACTGTGAGGCGCACCGGGTGGTCCAGTGTCCACCATGGTGCAGTCGCTACCCCGAGGCACGTAGAATGCGCTTTGCCATGCCATTGGAGGTTTTGCGACTCTACCCCCACTTCCTGGCTGTTTCGAGTAGACGGCATAGGATGGAATGTTCCATGCCGCTTCAGCCACTATCAAGGCTGAGGAGTTTCGAAAGATCTCGCCGCGCCACCTTTCATCATCGGTGTCCTGGAAGCAAAGATGCGTATGACATACATGTTTTACACAATGGCGTCGATGCATGAACAGAGACACCGAATACTCGTCACGACACCTCACCCGCAATCCCCGTTCCTGGTCATGAAGTCATCCGAATCGAGAAGGTAAAGAAGATCTCTACCCACTCCAGACGGTGACAGCCGGTAGGCCATGTGTCGATCGAGGCGCCTACGGGATAGACGGCCACGATTATGACTTAGTGCTCCGAAGCGGATGCAGGTTCCGTCCTATTCGGTGTAGAGGTGCAGACTGGGGATCGGCCAGTGAAACGCGCTAAGAATGTCTGCCGAGGTGAGGATAATAGAGGGTGCTTTTTCCTATTACACACGGGTTGTCTATGGGGGGGAGGGTGGATATATAAGGCAGAGATGATCCGCTGTAATATCGATACCACCCTGACGATAAGATCATCAGCTCTACTTCTCTCACTGTCATACCTCATACATTCACTCACATACCCATACCCATCTTCACACATCAACCATGCGTTTCTCCACCATCCTCCCCGCAGCCTCGCTGCTCGCTCTCTCCACCGCCGCCCCCGTCGACAACCTCTCCACCCGCGCCGCATGCTCTTCCTACACCATCATCAACACCCGCGGCACCGGCGAGATCCAAGGCGAATCCTCTGGCTTCCGCACCATGAACCGCAACATCCAGTCCGCAGTCTCAGGCGGCAAGATCTACAACACCGTCTACGCCGCCGGCTTCAGCCAGAACAGCGCTGCTGGTACCGCTGATATCGTCAACAAGGTTCAGTCTACACTCAGGACGAACCCGGATGAGTGCTTCATCCTCGAGGGATACAGTCAGGGTGCTCAGGCGACGGTGAACGCCATGTCTCAGCTCACAGGCGCGAATTTCGATGCTGTCAAGGGTGTTTTCCTCATTGGTAACCCGGCGCATAAGAGTGGATTGAGCTGCAATGTGGACAACAACGGTGGTACTACGACGAAGAACGTCAACGGTCTGTCTGCGGCACTGAGCAGGGGCATTCCGGATAACTGGCAGGGCAAGACGCTGGATGTGTGCATCTTTGTAAGTTATCCCTTGTTCCGTGGTAAAGGAGATGGTGGCTAACGATGATAACAGGGCGATGGTGTATGCGATACTACACACGGTCAGGGTATCAACGCGCAGCATCTTCAGTACCCTAGGGACACTCCCACGCAGAACTTGGGCACCCAGTACGTCACTAAGCAGCTTGGTGGTAGTGCTTAGATGAGTTGTAGCTTATGGCTTTGTGCGCATTACATTTCGGCTTTGTTTTGTTCCGTTTTGTGAGGGGTTGGTTCGGCTATGACTTTCATGTATATATATCTATGAGAATGAATTGGTAACAGAAGTCATTTACACATTATCAGTGAGGGTGAGACTATGCCAGCTATCTATGTCCCATGCGGATATCAGTGTTGCTTACACAGATGGCTACCGCACACTCTCAATGTACAGTACAAACAAGCACTCTTGCCGGTTAAACTTCGCCTGACAGCAGTAAGCACTAGTCAATTGCCGTACACAACATCCACGTTGACCCCCGGCCCACCTACTCTCACGATCGCGAGGAATAGACTTTCAGTCCTTTCGGCCCTACAAACGATGAGAACCAAGGGTATACATGGTAAACCTGGTGTCAGGCCACCCAGATCACCATCACGTCTCCCGACTCGGTTGGAGACAGCTAGAACACCACTAGAAGCACGATACCGGGCGCTAGTACCGTTGATGAGAGCAATGTAGGGCTGAAGAAGGGGTTATGCATGTTCTTTTGGATGGAGAAGTCGGACAATATCGGCAGATGGGTTGTTTGTATGCTCTTCCGACTCCTGAAACACACACGAGGTACAGGATGACTGAATACGCCCATTGAATGATGGAAGGGATGAGAAAGACGCCGTGTACTCTTCTTACAGCTCTCTCGGTACGGACGTTCTACAGAACCCTGAATACGGGGTATTCATCCCCCTCCTCTAGCGGAATCTTGTTATAATACACCTGACTTGCCTCTCCCTCTGGTTCTAACAGCGTAAACGCATATCCAGCATTCTTTTGCTTGGTATCAATGCAGAAGCCACCAGCGGGTATCGTTACAGCACGCTGCGTTGTATTTGTCGTGACTGTTGTACCCGCAATGCCCTCGAACTTTGTTTCCGCGAGCTCAGCCTTCGTGACTACAAGCGCTTCCACAGTTCCGACAAAGCCTTTCTCCAGAACGTCAACGGTGACACCAAGAATGCGGAGACGCTCTGCTACATCGGCCCAGGCGCGTGAGAAGACGTAAGCTTTTGGTCGGGGGCGGGATAGAGTGACGATGGAGGGATCGCTGTTTCGGGAACGGACTGGGACGTCGACAATCGCGCCGCTTGATTCGTCGATGAAGGGAACTGTCTTGTTGGTGATGCGCTGTTCGTAGGTTACGACGATTTCGTCTTTGCTGTCGATGAATGCTTTACGTCCGGCTTCGATGGTGCTGTATACGTCGTCGAACTCATCCACTGCTTTATTGAGGATAGTCTCCAGAACGATAACATGGGATGCGACACGTCGCTGGAAGTGCTGATCTGCGATAGCAATTCCACGCGTCTCGACGAGGAAAGTCAGGGCCTGGTAGTTACCAGCACCCTTATGATTCGCCGCGGCAAGCGCATCCGGCTCTTCAATCGTTATCGTGCCGTTCGCGACACTCGTAGTGAAGTATGGGAAGATGCGCAGGTCCTTACTCTCGGCAACTGAGAAGATGTCGTCGACGAATGCCTGGTTCAACGCTCGGATACTAGGATTGACGTTCTGGTTCTTGTTGGCGGAGACCAAGAGATCCTGCGCGCGGATGTACTTTTCCGCTACCAAGTTGCCTCCGGTATACTCGTGGTCGTCGATGAAGATATGAGGGTCAAACTCAGACTGCAGCTTTCTGATGGCACGTGTCTGCTGTCGCTCGAGTACAGCATGATCGCGGTTGGGATCGTAGTTGGAAGCCAGTTGTCGCTGTAGGTACTCGACACCATCGACGTTGTAACGCGGGATGATCATGAGATCGATCTTCTCAAGGATCTTCGCGGTCCATTGGGAGTCTTGCGCAAATTTTCCAAGCAGTGCAAGCACGCCCTCGTCGCCTGCGGGCTCGTTTCCGTGCTGGCCTCCTTGGATCCAGACACGTAGTTTCTCACTGTTTTTTTTGCCATTTGTCAATGTAACGTACGGTATCGCCCGATCTTCCTCGGATCTCAGGCCGCTATTGTAGGTGATCCATCCGTTGCGCTGAGTAAGGCCTTTCACGAAGATTTCTACTGAAAGTTAGCAAACTCAACGATGCAGGTGTTGTGATATCCGGAACGTACCCAGATCAAGCTGTGGAGTGGGTCCTGAGGTGCCGTTCGCAAATGTCGCTGGTACATTCTCCGGATTCAGGAAAGCCGGCGATAGCAGCTGGATGCCGTCGACGTCGGGAAAGTTGGCCGCCACTTTTGGTACATCGACAATTACCGGTCGTATGTTGCTGGCATATCGATCTGCGATGGCTGTAGTTGCGTAGAGTGGAAGTACAGCTAAGACCGTCTTGTAAGAGGTCCTCATGATGGTGGATGCGTTCAAAGTTGAGGTCCTTCGGAGGTTGAGGCTAATGACTTAGCAGATGGCTCGAGAGGTACCGCGAAGTAAATCTTTCGCTGAGAATGAGGCATTGCATGTTTATACGTTAATTGCGCATGCTGTTCGAGTAGTCGTGATGTGTATGCATAAGCACGTTATCAGGCATGGATTAGAAACGGATGTCTGCATCCATGGACACCTCACAGCCATCTTAACGTCTTTTCAGCTGCTAAGGTCTTGGTAGTACATCGAGCTTCCTGTTATGGGATAACTTTAACATGACGTGAGTGGGGACAAACGGCTGTCGCGAGGGCGGAGAAGGAATGCCTACCGCCTTCCTCCGCTCCCGAGCTGTTGGGGCTTGGCAGATGGCGTCATGCAGATCTATCGGCAGCAACCCCACGATCCGATCACACCGACACCACTCAATTATAGAATAGCGAGCTTCAAACATCGGATTCCTTCTACAGCTTGATAATCACTAAACATCCCACCATCTCCAACCCTCACTCTACCTCAAGTGGCGGCGTGCCCAGCTCATTAACAAATCTCCCACTCCTCTCCACCTCGATAACCCACTGCCCCCAAGGCTTAAAAACAATCCAGCGATTCATCTCATTCGTTGCTTTCCTCTCTTCCGCACTCAAGTACCTCACATTACCCCCCTGACTCCCCGCCAACAACAGCGCCTTCGTCTGAACCCTCGCATTACTCGCCGCATAATACGCAAAATCCGTAACCTGCTCTATCCCCTCGCCGACTGTTACAAAGCCATGTCCACGCATCAAAACCGTGGTATGTAAAGGTGACGTAAGTCTCGTTTCATTCCTCCCAAACATCCCTGCCAGTCCCCTCCCCAACCTCACACTATTAACAAGCATATCCCTCGGCTCCCCCTCCTCATACACAACCCCAATATCAAAGTTCGGTACTTCACCACCCAGAAACCCAGCCATATGGTACACAGGCTCCAACCCCTTCTCCATCTCTAGAACAGTATACGGCAGCACATCCTCACAATGACTATGCACAACAGCATTAACATCAGGATACCTTTTCAAAATCTCACTGTGAATAAATCGTTCCGCATAGCCACCCGTAGTACCGGGTAGGGGCGTGCCGTCGGCGATGTGGTATTCGCCTATATCGACGGGGGAGGAGACGGTCGCTGGCCCGATTTGCAAAGCGATGAAGAAAGTGGTGTTTGTATTTGGATTGCGGACGCTGATGTGGCCGAAGGGGTCGAGGACGGCGTGGTGGGAGAGGATGTGGTTGGAGGTTATGAGGGTGGAGAGGAGGGAGGTTGTGTTCTTCATCGTGTGTTGGTTCGACAGAATATCACACGGAGGTTGAGGGTAAGCAAGGCAGCTATGAGGATAAGGTATCGGATGGAACTATGTGATCAGCGCAGGGATGGTTGGTAAATATACCGAGATGTTTGAGTGGAAACACGTCTAGCAGGTACGCATCATCGTACAGCGAGGATCTCCGGATTATGACCCGTAGCGCGATGTTAGTGGTAGCCTATGATGGATCGGGTGGATGGCTACCAAGACGTGATTACCGTACATGCGCCACGATTTGAGACTTGCTTTTGCTATACAACTGTAGTATTACAAAGATGTATTTGTTTGGAGACACAACATTATTTTACAAGGCTATGAGATCATAATAGGAGGTAGAAACCGAGATGCCTCCGATGGTGAGAAGTGGTATATAGCGAAGCACGCAGAATCGTGCTGGATTTGGGTGGTAAGATTCGTTCCCAGACGAGAGGCAATGTTCTGTTGGCGTTGAAAGGTTAAGACGTAATGGCCGATGTTGTGAAACACCATTGTCGGGACGGCAAGCTCCGTCCGATGGGCTGCGAATAAGCTTCATCATCGACCACCATTCATGGCGCCTTGGTTGAACTCGCTTGTTCCGTGGCCGGTGTTATTCGAGAAATCCGGAAGTACACCGTTCATGCTGATGCCGTCCTCATAGCCCGAGAAGCCACCGGTCATATCCGCCCAATCCCATTCCAGTGTCATTGGCATCTTCCATAGATCCTGTGGAACGTTGTTCAGCGTCTGGTCGAACTGGCCCATGCCGGCCATGGCATTGATGTTTGCGTTTACTCCGTTAATGTCACCGCCTGTTGTCATTGGTAGGCTTTGTGATTGCTGGAGCATTTGCGCGGTGATTCCGGGCGAGCCGTACTGGCTCATTTGGATGTTGGGTTGTAATGAGTCGTGTGTGAAGTTCGGTGAGAAGGGGAAGGGCTGTATATGTTAGCGTTGGTCTAGTACAATAGTGGTGTAGCTTACCTCATTGAACCCGTGGAAATCTGGATTGAAGATCATACCCTCTTGGGCGGGGGGATTCTGTGGGGTCGTAACCTGCTGAGGTGGAGACTGTGGGTTGCGACCTGTCGAAAGAAGCTCAGCCGCGGTTGCTTCGATCTGAGCATCCTGTTCGCTGTCACCCTGTTTCCTCTTCCGCCGCGATGCGTGTTCGCGATCTGCCTTCTCAAGCACGATAGTAGCAATGCGCTCAAACTCGGCGCAAACTGTGCACATGCGCTTAACACTGCCACTGCCTTGGTCGTCGTTCAGCATGTTCAGGAAGTTGACAACCAGCTTCATCAGCTTAAGATCCGATCGCGATCGCGTGTCTTGTGGATTTTGTAGGATGTTGGCGAACAGCGTGACCAGAGCGGTGACTGGGAAGTATATCACTAGCCAGACACACGACAAGTCACCTTTAGGTATGTACTTCAAAAGATGTATCGAAGCTCGGGCGGCTTGCACACATAATTGAGCGGACATGAAGACTCTGGGGTTCAGAGGGCGGGCGTTTAGACCTTGTATCGCGAAGTTTGACAATCGGCTGGTCCAGTATCCATGGTGTACGCTCATGCGGTGGATAGTGGTTAAGCAGTTGTAGTATCCGAGATGCAGTACTGCGACTTGGAGGATGAGCGGGGTGTGCGATGCCTTGATGTCGTGCTCTGGTCTGAACTCGAGCGGTATGTCGTCCTTCCAGGCTTCTAGCTCTTTGTCGAGTTCGCCAATAGTATTGAGTAGCTCGCCATCGGTCTGCTTGGATGCCTTTACGGAATAGAGGCCCTTGTAGACTTTACTTTGAATCACGGAGAAGGTGCACATGAGACGGAACAGGTTCATGGTGCCCTTTCCATCAGCGAGCGGGATGTTGCCGATATTGTCCGGTGGAGTCTCGCTCGGTAGCTCGACGTTCATGTCGTCGTCGTCTTGTACAGGTGGTCTACCAGACCGTAGACATATACTTATGGGGATTAGTCTGTGTATACAGGTGGAAGATTACAAGACTCACTCTTTGTCCAGCATGTAGGCAATCCAGAAGACACGCCTTCGTTGCTCGACCTCGGCGGCGTTGAGACTGAAGTTGGCACCCTTCTTGTGGAGACCAATGCTATGCGCAAGTCGCATGGCGGTAGCAACGAAGAAGTAGGTAGGTTGTGGATTCGGCGTTCCAAGAAGGAAGAGACCCTGAAGTCGTTAGATGAGAACATCTTCAAAGTCCGTTATTACATACCACTCCCAGTAAAGCCTGAACACTCAAAAGGTCGGTGTTGCGCATGGTGAGCTCGACCATGACACTCATCGCATTCTTCAGGTACTGCCACGCCTTTTCGTCTTCTTCTGCTGGAACCAGATTGCTCATGACGCGCAGTCGATGTGCGAAAGCCAGAGCGACATTGAGACTGGCCCACCAGCCGGATCCTTCGTATGGGTCTTTCGAGTAGTGCTTATCCACCAAGTGCATGAAAGTCGGTTCGTGGAACAGCGGGAACATGCAGTTGAAGTTCTCGAAGTAGTCCTTCAGTAAAGACAGGGCCTCATGCTTGGGCGGTAGTTGTTTGTAGACGCGGCGCTTGAAGATGTCCTGGAAGACGTCGGGCCGCCATTGGATCCACTTGTTGTCCTCGACGGCGGCTGTGGAGATCATGTCGCGGAAAGAGTTGTCGCCGGTCTTTTCGTTGACCCATTGTATGCCTTTGGGCGAGAAGATGGAGAAACCGGAGGAAGAGCCTGGGATTGTTAGCGGTGAAGACGACGGATATGGAGGACATACCGATATATCTTGTCTCTCCACAGTTGTTCGTCACGAGGGAACACATCATCTCGGCGAGCGCGTCCTCTTCCTTGTCTTTGTCTTTGGTCGTGTCCATCTCTTCCTGGGGCTCTGGCGAGGCGGTGCCGCTCCTCGGGCTGGGGAGGGCTGGCTGGGCCGGTGTGCCATTGGCGGTCGAGTGGCCTGTTGTGGGCGGCGCCATGGAGGCTCGTCTGTCGTCGATGCTATTCCGGGGTGTAGCGGATCGGCCGGCTCGTGCCTCCAGCCGCCGCTCGAGTGTGGCCAGGTCGGTGCTGCCATCGTCGTCTTCGGGCAGGACGCCAGAGAGGCGCATCAGCGACTCCATGCGCGCCAGTCGGTTCTCCAGACCCTCGATGTACTTGGCGCTGTGCACGGTCAGTATGCCATGTGCGCAACACCTCGGTCGCACCTACCCCTTTGGCGGTTGCCGCTTCTTCTCGACCTGGGTGAAGATGCACTCGGTCTTGTAGTTCTGGCAGTGGGTGCACGAGGGCATCTTGCCGTCGCACTTGATCTTCTTCTTCCGGCACATGTCGCACGCCTGCATCCTGTCAGCATGCCGTCGTCACCCGCAGATCCGCGCCATGTACCCGTGCGATGCGCCGCCGCTTGGGGTCGCTGTCGTTGTGGTCGTCGTCGTCGAGGTTAAACATGTTGCCCGGCGGCATCTGCGACGGGTCGTAGGTGCCGCTGCCGAACAGACGCGGCGGCGGAGGGTTCATCATGGGCGGGCCGGTGGCATAGAAGCCGTTGGGAGGGGGGTTCATGGTGTCCACGGGTATTAGGAGGCGCTATGTCGTCAGTCGTGAGGTCGTCGGGCAATTGGGCCCTCGCGAGTATCCGGGGCCTGGTGGTGTTTTGTGAGG